AATAGGAAGAGTAAGTGTCACAATGAAGCATAAGAACTGGATTTAGTACACAGTTTATGTTACTGCTCTGATAGGACTAGTATACTAACATGGTTTATTTTATCAATAATCTTATAGCATTAGGTGGTTTTTATTCAAATCTCAACAATGAATCAACTAATTCTGTGGGAATCTCCATTTTCAGTTTAAAAGAAAAAAAAAATAAAAGCTACAGCATCTACTCTTTTTTAAGTAGCAGAGAACCCTGAGCAAAGTTGTCTGACAATAATCTGAAATCTCAAAGTTCATAGGAGAAACTAAGAGAATCTCAAACACATTACTATGCAAAAGTTGATGGCAAAATGTAATGTATTTTAGAACAGGACTGACATTCTTTGTCAAAGGACTTTTGTATTTCCCAGTGGAAGAAGCAAACAGTTGAAATGTTCTGGGCAAGAGATTTTCTTTAGAACATATTCAATCACAGTAGAGGATAATTGCTGCTTCTTACTAATAACCATGAACCACTTGGAGGAGCATCCCTGCCTCTGGAATACACAAGCAGTTCTGAAAACACTCAAACTCCAACACAGGGAGTACTTGTACCTGTGGGCACAGTGTTTTGCTCTTGCCATTAAACATGAGTCCTGCTTCTTCTTTTAGAGTCCATGGAATACTACTGCATTTTGTACAGTAGAGTTCTCCAAAGCATATGAAGTACCTTTCAGACAAAAGAATGATTTTTCCCGAGTGAAGTTCAGGTGCTCTAAAGCATGCATTAGAATTCTGCTGTGTGGCTTCACACTTGGCTGAATGCTATGACACAGTTACATGAGGTATTCTCAGTCATACCTCTAACATTTTATTTTCAGGGATTGAATACATAGGTAGAGGCCATCAGAAATGTATGTTAGCCTTAAGTTATTGATAGTGTCAGAGCATTTTTACTGCCGCCAAAAGAAACTTGGGCTTCAGTCTGCCCTAATACCCCCATTTGCCTTACAGTGACCGAAACAAGTCATAGACCAAATTACCATGCTGGAGAGGTACCTTCCACAGTACAGTGCCACCCCACACTGCTCTCTCTGAGGCATGTAAATCCTAATAATATTTTGTTTTCATCTATTCTACAGCAAAACTGCTCTTGATCACTACTGAATAATATAAATGGATGACATGAGAATATTTTTCTGTACATAAATTGATTTAATACAGCCATTAAAACTGCTTGGATTTGACAGCATAAAATAGTTGTTAAAGTGAATCAATAAAATCTTCCTTTACCAGTCAGGTAAATTAAACAAGAGAATTTTGCTGTTCCTAATGGTCTAATCTTTTTAATGAACAGGTTTCTGTTTCAGACATCACTCTGGTATAAGTGCACCCTAATAGTATATTCTAGACTCTGAAGAGTCCCTTTTTTAATTTTTTTATTTTATTTTATTTTTCTCCTCTGTCTGCTTTCATAAAAGAGAAAACTTACTGTATTTGTTTTTATATTGTATTTACACCAGATAGTTCACAGATTTATTAAAGACAGCTTAGAAAGTAAGGCACACACAAAAAAAGGTTTTGTGATGCAAAAGAAGAACACTTCCATTTGAGTCCATGCAGAATTTTCTTTCCCTTTGACAAGATTTAAATGAGTTTCATAAGAGTACTTTTACCTTACATGTTTAAACTACAGTGGCATTACAGGATTTATAATATGACTTAGTAAGCATTATCGTGATTTTTATTGTTTATTATATTATATAGTAGCAAATGTGCATAATAGACCATATGTTGGGAAGGTTGCTTAGAGACTGCTAGTCCCCTCCCAGTCTGCAGAGATTAGACAAACAGCTCCTACATCTCACCAGTATTCCTCTTTCTCAGTCACTGGAATATCATGTTCCCTTCTTCTGCCCTCCTGCCACCCTTATGGCTCTGGTTAACTGTTTCAACAGAAAGCTTCAAGCCCTTTTCAGAGCACATCCTGGCCAGCTGGTGAGGATGCTCTCACTGTCTCCACCAATAAAGACACGAAAGGCAGCATCACCAGCAGAACTTTGCTCTTTGATGTTCTAATGCTCTGCAACAGGGCACTCAGGAACCCTAGTGAAAAGAAATGCCTGCTGCAAGTCAGGGTTTAAGCTCCAAGTGAGGGCAGAAATTCAGGCAAACCAAATATGCTTTGTGCACCAAAAAGCCCCTTGCTCACTACTGAGACTCTTCAGACGTTCATTGAACTCTTTCCTGTGGCTTTCACATAGACTGTCTCAGGAGGCTTGGATCTTCCCCCTGGTATTTATAACTCAGGTTGCATTGATTTAATTTAACCTGTATCTTATGACTCAGATAGGTGACCATGTTTTAGATATTTTCAATAATTAAAACTTAATTTTTTTTTCATCAATACTCTTCTTTTTATAATTTAGAAAAATTACCAATATCAATTACCCATGTGTTTTATTAAACAAACAATAGACTCTTTTTTATGACATTTCTGAGCCTCCACTGAATCCATATAAACCTTTGGTATCTAAAGAATTTGGAGCTGGGAGTTCCAGAGCTTCACATCACACATACTGCATGAAGAATCATTTTGGTTTGTTCTGAACTGGTCACCAGGTAAGTTGAACTTAAAGTAAGTTGATCTTAATTTCTTATCAATACCAATTTTTTGTTCGTTTGGTTTGAGTTTTGGTTTGTTTTATTTTGTTTGTTTTGTTCATTTAGAAGGGGTTTTTTGGGTTTTCTCTAATATTCTCTTGACAATAAGCTTGTTTGGTGAGAGTGATATTCACAGATGCTGAATTTGGGAAAGAGTTGCTTTCATCAGATCGATACTGATCTAGTGAGGTGGCAATGACTAAAACATGGCTTCTTCCAGCTAACTTAATTTGAGGCAAACTTCCACAGTGTTTGACTTAATAGACTGCAATTCATACAACTCCTGGAAGATGTATCACAGTTTCTGCTTTCTCAAGCTATACAGAAAAGAAGGAAGAAGAGTGTACACTCCACTCACCCCATTTTTCACCTGTATGAACAAACAGTGGAGAAAATAGCCTGAATCAGTCTACCACTTTCTTATAACTGGGAGCAAACACCTGCACCTCATCTGCCTATTAGCTTATTTTGATAGAAAGGAGGAAGAAGGGAGCATGCTTTTCTGTCAACCACCAGTGAAGGAGAAATGAAATATAATCTTCTTGAGGCAGGAGGAGACAGAGGTATTCCCTATCATTCACGTGCAAATACTGAATGAGTTGAACAGTTTCATATGGTAGGCCTTGCAAATAGTATCCATTTCATTCCTGGTAATACTGAAATTTAGGAACTTTTATTTCTAGAAAAGTAATGACTTAATAAAATTAATTATTTTTGAACTATTACTTTTCACTTCTCGCTGGGATTTTAGTTCTTCAGTGCCAAGTACTATGATTTAGTGTAGTTTTATATAGGCACAAACTTACAGAGCACAGATCTTATGCAAATATGTTGAAAATATGGTTTATTTTGCTCACAATACAATCAAAACGGAAGATATATTTAGGTTGTGTTTAATGCCTTGTTAAGCTATGTACCTGGTTACACGTGAGCTTTCCCTATTATTCATCTGAAATCACTGTAGAAAAGCCTAGTCAAGAGAATTTATGGGCTACGTCAGGCTGAAACTTGGAAAAAAGCATGTGTGGTATATTCATTAATCAATGAGAGTCATTTTTACCATCTTATTTTGTGCCAGATACTGAAATTAGATCTGTTAAGGGGGAATCTTCCAACTCCTAAGGAGCCCTACTGAAATTACTTAAGTTCAGCCTACAGATGACACTCATAACCTTTTATCCCACTACTTCCAGAAAGCCACAGTTGTCATCTGAACTACACTGCATTTGTGGAACGTCATGTTACTTCATATTTCTCACTAAGGAAAACAAAGTCACAGATGCACATGTATTTAAAGGGATCTAAAATCTAAATTTCATTTGCACCTTGAAGTCAGTCTTTGAACAGGCAATCTGAGGTGAATGTGTTCAATCTGAGGTGAATCTTATACTAACTAAAGAGTGAGTATAAGGTACTATTTTCCATAGCAATGCAAACAGAAAGTATAATAGGAAGGAGTCCTGCAAAGAACTACTAAAATGCCACGAATTTAATTAAAAATGTCTTTCGAAAGATTGTGAGGAATTAAATTTCTTTACATCTGCTGCAAGTCAGTAACAGAAATTTTAAATACAGTAACTTGGTAGATAATTGAACAGATAAGTACAGATAGATTTTCTAGAGAAAAATACTTTAGCTATTAGTTTGGCAAAAGCAAGAGACGCCATGTTGATTTCAGCTGGTGACTGTGGTGTAAATGCATTCACGGCATACAGTACTCATAGTACTAGTTATTAAAGACTGGGACTGGCAATAGAGATATGCACTAGAAAGAAAGCAACATACTTAACTGTATGTACAAATTAGTTGTAAAGTTCTCTAAAATAAAACCTAAGTGTGCAGTAATAACTTCAAACTCCACTGTTTTGCTAAATATTATGTAACTTGAAATTTTCTACAACAAGGAGTTCTCTTGACCCTCAAATTAATTAGTCTGATCTCTAATTTTAATTTTAATCTTTCCTAAACCTTCTGGTAGCAGTGAATTGCTTGTGGAGAGCACAGAATGGAATAAAACAGCTGGACTGAACTAATGTGTTGGAGGGAGGAAAAAACCTTTGCAATTTATTAATGTATTCAAAAGACTGTTACAAAACTTTACAATTTAATTATTGGAAGATTATAGAACTGCTTCAGTGCTTCTGTACTGTGTTAAATAAACTGTACGTGCAAGGAGTAATAAATGAAATTGTTAATTTCAGTGCATCCTTAGGGAATAGTAGGAGGGAGAGTTTACATTATTTAGAGCTCCAAATGGATTTGAGTTTATATACAGTAATAAATCTTAACTACATTGTTAATTAACCCTGTCTCAAGCCCCTTTTTACCTTAGGAGTTGAAAGACAGTGTCTGTTAGGATAACTCACCATTCAAATGCTTAAAGATGTTTAGGACTGGGAGAATTTGCCGATAATAAGGCACCAAGGCCTCTCCCACCATGTCAGCTGATGCCACCAGGTGCTGGAGGATTTTCAGTGTGCTGATGAGGACGCGTCGGTTACGAAGGTTCAGTGCATCTGTGATGCAAAAAGAACAACAGGCAGAAAGAAGAATTAATTTCTAAAATGTAGAGGGAGGGGGAGGAGTCCTCTAATGGACAAATTTAATTAAACTGTACTCTGCCGGGGATTGTAAGTGGGCCTTTATTAGCCCAGCTTTGAAAGATGGATTGCAGTCCTGATGTTATAAAACACTGCCTTGTCTGATTGTTATTTGTTCCCACAATTTGTGCTGACTCTTCAGTAACCCAAAGAATGCAGCTCATTATTCCCTCATGCTGCCTGTGTAATACTGGTGAGGTCCAAACAAATGAAAAATAAATGTTCAGTAAGTACCATTTGGGGCCAGTGGAACTGTTCAACTGCAAGACAACCTGCAAAGGTTCACAACAGATACATTCTAGTGCAACAATTAGTGTTTGTATGTTTGTACTCATTTATTTCACGATCATTTTATTCATTCAACTAACAATTCCTACTATTCTGAGAATCAGTACAATGAAGCAAATGTTTATAGAAAAAAAACCTACAAAAAAAAACCTTGTAGGCTTTTCTCCCAGAAGAAAAACACTCCTGAAAAAAAAGATTTTGTCTAGCCTACTTAGATTTTTCTCTTAGCTTTCAGTGTCATGCTTCTAATCTTATGACACTTTGACATTTCATAAATACCTTTATTTTCTCTTCTCTTTTAATTTTACTAAAAGCAAGTACTTTGCATTCTCTCTTATAATTAAAAATGAGTCATGCTTTTATTTTTTTCCTTGCAAAATCCATCTATTTATAAAAGCTTCTCTGAAATAATGCAGCTGGAAGCAGTTGTCAAATTTGGTACGCTATTACATATTGGTCTAATTCTCTAGTGTTCTGTCCACTTACATAGATGTTTACATCATTGCACAGAGAAATAATCGAAAAAGATAAGCTCATATTCATTTCTGTGTTTTATAATCACGAAAGTATATACATATGTGACTCAACATATCATAGCATGACACTAACTATAAGCATTTAGAAAACACACCAAAATTTGAAGATGAGTTACTAACAACTTCTTTAAGAACTGCCTCTTCAAACCAAAGTAACAGGATTGAAGATGTTGCAGGAGGGTTGAAACTAGACGACCTTTAAAGGCCCCTTCCAACCCAAAACCATTCTATGATTCTACAATTCTATGATTCAGTATTTCTGGTGCTGAGTTTTGTCAGTGCACAGGAATGTCTTTTCATAAGGAATGAAGTAGTATTCTCACACAGGAGCAATGTCGTTTTTTCCATCTCTTTAAGCAAATGCACTGTACCCCGCCCGCTTCTGCTTCTTACTGCATGTCTGCTGAGTGATAAAAATCAGAGTGAGAGCTCCAAAGCAAGGGCAGGGCAGACTGATTGAGTCAATACGTAGAGACAACTCTTGAAAATCAACTAGTAAATAAGGTCCCTTTATGCCTCCTAGCATGCTTGTGAACAGCATATTGAAACTACAGTTAGAAAACACTTAGAGAGCCCAAAGTATAAAAGTACTATTGCACATCATAGTGATTCCAAGTTAGAGAAATACTGCTAAATTAAAATACAGACTGAATTCCTTACTTATTTGCTAGTCTCTATTGTAGTCACCAGGCTGCAGTTAATTTCATATTGTCTCTTAGTTTATTAATGTGTCAAATGGAAGCCCACCAATGCAGCATGCTTACATTAAGTTCCAGCAAAGAGGCTGGCTATTCCAAAATATGCTTTTGTGGGTAGATGTTCTAAGGCTGTTTTAGCAAAGAGAGATTCCCAGACACAATTTTAAAGATTAGGTCCAAGTCTCAGGTAGGAAAACATTCTCTTACAGAGAAACAGGCATTATTCATTTTCATAAAGGAGTGACTGGAAAAGGAACCTCTGGGGTTCCAGCACACAGATTTATTCATTACTAAATTGTCATACACATAAATAGTAGCTAACAGAACTTGTATGGAAAGTATCATTAACACTTGTATTTTAAGTACAACAATTATGTCATTCATAAAAACATGAATGAATATTTATATTCACTTGTATGAATGAATTAATATAAATTAATAAAACCGATTATTCATACCCACACTAATAATTAACTAAATGACATAAAAATTATCATTGACAGAAATTACAACTTCTTAATCCTTAACCAACAAATTGTACCCACGTCCAGGAATAGTTCTTCCTGACTGCAGAAGCTGTCCTAGAGTATAAGAAACCTTATTTTGAGGTATGCAGTGTGTCATGTAAGTGGAAATGGCTGTCCAGCTACCCCTAGGAGGAACTTTTGGGTGGATCCCATTTGACACCATCGACTTGTCTCTGTCTGAGTGGTGCAGCAGGTCCCTGACCATTTCCTCTTCAATTATGGTGGCTTCATTCTGCTCCACATCCGTATCTTCAGCTCAGGGGATGGGATATTCCAAGAACAATTTGTTTTACTCCTAAAGACTGAGGCAAAGAAGACATTTTGACACAGGTACCAGCAGGCCTCATGTCATTTAAATTGACCCATGATCAAAAAACTCCAAATCCTTCCAGTGACATCAGGCTCAGAGCCAGGTATTGATCTGCTGACTCCTCCTGCTTCTTCCCTCATCATTCTCTGCAACTGGAAGGGACTGATCCCACTCTTGATCCCTTAACCAGCTGTCCCAAGGCCCTGAAGTCTCTCATTGTCCTCAGACTTCTTGTTTAGACTTCATCACTGCCTACCTAAAAAATAAACAATGGATAGTAATCCGAGGGTTGTACCAGGATAGGAAGCTTTCTCTTCACATCTTTAACCCAGGCCCCAGGGAGGCATCAGGCTTTCCAAAGAGGTGGGTCCAATCTGCATATTAAACCTTCTGTTCCCTGCTGAAAGGACTTTCCTATTACAATGGCAAGTTCTTTTTTTCATTCTAGAAGCAGTTTTGATGCAGAGCACAGTTCAATTTGTGACACCTTCATGCTAGCTGAACCATCATGCCCATTATTGTTTGGTACCACTTCCAGAGCCTTTTATCTATTGTATAGGGGCACCTGGGAAGGTGGAGTAGTCCCAGATGAGATGGGCCTGTTGCACAAGCGAAGGAACTTGTCACCATTACCCCCTACCTCTTGAGTCACTGTGCTCACCCATGCGGAGAAAGGATAGGGAATTCTCCGTATCACACATCCTCACTGCCTGTTGTGCCTGTCTCAGAGAAGGTAGGGTGCAATTCCAGTAGTCTCTTTCTCTCACTGTCCTTGATATTTCTCAGCCTACCTACCTCCTTCAGGAACCCTGTCACTAAGTGAAGGAGTTCCTCTACCTGGGCACACCTCCCGCAGCTGTGCTCACTGCTGCTGCCCAATACTGGTATAAGAGTAGGGCACACGTTGCAGCCTGCACGGATATAGATGCAGATGGATATGATAGAATCAAACAGACTGAGAATTTGAGCCTGAATCCCTTCAAATTGCAGAAATCTGCAGTGTGTGTTAGGAAAACACTTGTAAATATCAAAAGTGAGATCAAATTGACTACAGAACTGTTGTTATTCTTATTAAATATTTGGACTGTGGCATGCATAGCAGTCAACCAGCTCCTGGCCTGATTGTATTAGGCACTTTATAAACATTCAATTAGAGGTAGTTCTTGACCTGAAGATACATCAATTTCAAATATTTGTTTATCTTTTAAAAATCGCGTAATTATTTTCTGTGTACTACCATCACTACGGACCATTCTCCCATGTGAATCCAAGGAAGAAAATTTTAATGCAGTATATGAAAATAGTACATTTCAACACATTGGAAAATGTCACTGATATCCAGAGTTTACCAGAAACTGAAGAAAGTACTAGTATCCTTACACAGGAATAAAGCAGAGCATTTAAGACTCTTGGTGCAGTACAGCTACATAGCCCAAATGAAGGAAACACGTATAATATCCCAAGTATTCCAATTTACAAAGCATGCTGGGCTGTTGCCTCTTGGCCTAGAAGCCTACTGTAAGAGATGGATCTTCACAATAACAGCAAAGTGAACAACTGGTTTGCTTCTCAGTTAAAGATAGCTTTCTGCTCCTGACTTCCCTGGCTCAATGGTACCTATTTCACTTTGGTCATCTAGATGATACGCTATGAATTGTAACATTCTCTTAAATAGCAACTTGGAAAAAAAAAAAAAGCCCCGTACATTGGTTCTGTTGCTTGGTAGTTTTGATGTTTTCTCCTTTAATGGTATATAAACTTGAAGATTTCGCTTGTGATTAGGATACACATTTTTCCAAGAAAGGAGCAACCCTCCAGCTTAAATAATTGCTCAATTGAAGTTTATAATGAAGTATTTTTCATTCAAACATATTTTATTTTGTGCTGCTACAGTTTTTCCAAATAAATATTTTCTGAGGTTCATCATAAATTTCTTAAATAAAAGAGAATTTTACAATGCTATCAGGTTAAATATCTGATGTAAATGCTCAGTATCTCAGTCAGCTCTGTGTTTCTACCATTCAAAGCCACAGTAAGAGATAATTATGGAATTTGAAAGCATATTTGAAACACTGACTATTTTTGGGATGGAAGTTTTCCAAAGTGCTGCTTATTAGCTTGTTAGCAATGATCCGATATAAAATACAAATTCATTGCCTTCAGTGAATGTCAATTCACTGTATTTTTAATTTCGGTTACATTTTATTGGCAATTGATGTAAATTTAGAATGTTCTTTTGCTAATTTCCCTTAAGAGCAGAAATTTTCCTTAAGATATATACCACTTGTTTGCAATAGAAATAATTATTTTAAAACATTCAAGCCTTTTAGCTGAGTAACATTTCTAACATCTCAAAGAAAAGACCTAGAAGTTATGTAAGTTTATTTTTTATATGTATATTTTATTTTTAAGTGGTAGTTTGGAAAATCTTATCTCAATCTGAGATGTTGTCTGTAATAGAAACCAGAGTTCTCATCTTTGGGACTGATAGATTTTATAAGCCAGGAAACATGACAGTATTTCTCCCAGTACACAGTGGATCTGTTTCATGACACAA